ATAGAGGTTAGAGTCAAGGTGATTTGTTTTGATCGCAAAGGTGAAATTAAGACACAGTGTCAGACGTCACAAAAGCAAAACCCTTTATTGACTAACAACCACTGGAGAGCGATAGGAAAGAGAGATAAGGAATAGGAAAAGCAAAACAGTAAAATGTTTAGAATAGCAAGAAATATAGCTACCACCACAGATCCAGCGATGTCTCACAGGTCTGCCTGTTTCGATTCTGTGAGGGGGATCTCCAAAGAATAGCTGTTCATGGTGGCATTATAGTGTTCCAAGAGCTGCTTTGCCCATTCTCTGCCTGTTTAGCGCATGCATATGAGGGTCGTCAGGAGCAATCTTCACACCTCCCAGTGTCGCCTCCATCAGTGGAGCATGCAGAGGTATCCAGAGGGCCCATTTTTGCCTTACAGGGCAGCTGCCTTATCAGCAGTTACACTGTTGGGCTTGCAAGACAGCAGCTCTATCAGCAGCTGAGCCGGGCCCAGAAGTTGTTGTTCAGGACTTTGAGCCCCGTGGCTTATCTGGACTGGGCCCTTAAGTTGTATCAATAGTCAAGTCAAGCCCCGTGGCTAATCTGGGGTGGGCACTGAAGTTGTTGTTTGGGACTTATCAGCGGTCCAAGTTTGAAAACAGCAGCCTTGAAGTTTCTTCGCGGGCAATTTCAACACAGTCTTTACTTCGTGGGCAATTTCAGCAAGGTAGAGACAAATATTTTAAAACAGTCTCTTACAACCTCTTCTTGCATTGCAGCACAGGACAGGTGGTTACATCAGACATGAATTTTGCTTGTCTTTAAAATAGATTTCTATAGTCCTTCCAATTGCCTAAGTGGTAATAAAAATTAATTCTATTGTAAGTATATTTGATTATGTTTGATCTCTGAACAATTTGTTCTCCTTGATCCAAGTTTTCAGTTTTATTTTTGGATTGATTTTGAACTGAATTGAAGGACAGGGCATAAGAAAAGCTTTGTGTTCAGATTTGTGGTAATTTATGCAATACTATTCTCCAAAGTGTTGGAGAATTTTATTGCTACCTTTCACCTACACTAGTGTATGTTCTCAGGGATATATAGTACTTATTAGGACTAATCTATTTCTCTGGCTTTTGACTGGTCAGAAGTATGAGAACATAGGAAGCTGACCATTTTAGCTGTTTTTAGCATTATCATCTCTAAACTATTTGTTTTGTCAGAAATAGGCATATCAAAATTTAACCTTATCTTGTGAGAAGGCAGGTATCTAAAGGAACCCTTAAAGTGTTTATTTCTGTTTGTGGACTAGCTTAGATGTGTATACCGCACTGCTTGCTGACATGAATTTGTCCTCTGAGATTTCTGAAATGTGAAATCTGCTTTCAGTACTTACTGTCACTTGTGTGTGTTTTCCTCACTGGTTTGCACAATGGCACGTGCAAAATAATGCCTAGTTTAGCAAGTATTAAAGAATATATTAATTTTGTTTGGGGAATGGGATTTTTTGGTGGTGGTGAGGTTGTTTTTCTGTATGTACATGCATATGCAGCCTAACACATTGTTTAGTAATGGCACGTATGGACCTAATAAGTTTCTATAATTACACCTTCACAATGTATTCAGAAACTACTGTGGAATAAATCAACATACAAAACCTAGGTAAAAGTAAAATTCTTCTTCTGCAGTGTAAAGATGTTTTAGAAATCTCAAGTTGCTTGCCTTTCCTGATGGTATCTAATAACCTTGGCAAAGTGATGTAATTAGATATAAAAAACTCTGATTGTTTTAAATGTGTTCACGAAAGACACTCTTGTGAGCTTTAGATCTCGTGAACTCTGTTTCTTGTGTCTGTAAGCTATGGATATGTCATTTAGTGTTTGAGGATGAGCAGAAATGAACACAAAACACAAACCAGCCTTCCTTCTTTAATGTACCATTGTGATGATTTCTAAAAATAAAGGACAAATGTCTACTTAACGTGAGTACTTGTACCCATCCTAGCACCTGAGATCATGGTTTCAAGCCCACTCCCATTTTACATAGGTGTTGGACGAATAGCTAAGCCTAATTTCTGGTTCATTAGGAGTTATTTTATGCTAATGTTCAGAGAAGGCCGAAAGAAGCTTATATTCCTATTTATATAGAAATAACATCTAGAAATCTCACACAGTGCTAAGAGTCCATTATTGTTATTCCAGGATGGCTCTACTGTGTGAAGGTATGGTTCTTGAGTCCATGACTTCCAGTGAGGATAGAATTGCCTGTGGACTTCAGTTAATTTTGGGCAGGGGGAGAGCTTCTGGTGTTAAAGGTTACAAAAAGTAATAGAAAACCATAGTATTTGAGGCAACAGATACCTTGTGCTCCTGTAAATAACATGTTTCCCAGAACTATTAACAATGTTTGTAGGTTACATTATGATGATACACAGGAAATTTATGTTCTACCTCTTGAGATAAAAGCCTCTGTGTTTAGAAGAAATTATAGACCATACTTCCATCGGAGTGTATAAATATTTATCATCACATTCTATATCCCATAAATTGACTTTCTTACCATGCTCTTGTCTCCTGAATCTTGTTCTGCCCTTGTGCATAGCAATGATTACTTTTATTTATAAAGAAAGCAGCAATCATATTTTGCTACTTTAGTATTAATGCCTCATATAAGGTTTTCTTTGACTGTTCATTGATTTTGTATAAGAAGTTAACAGCTGCTGAAAAATCCTGTGATGATGCACTGTTTATATTCTTGTGTCAGCTTCTCTTATACCTAGTTCCTTTATTCTCTGCTGTCTTCATCAGCAGTATTTGCTTGTAATCAACATAAAACACCTTCTTCCATACATTTTTTTTTAATATATCTTATCCATAAAGTCACTCAAAAAAAGTTTCTTGTGCTGTTTCTGCTTTATTCTCTTACCTTTAGGTATCTCTTAGGTTTGGATTTTTCCCTCTTTTTATTAGTTGCTGTATTTCAAAATTATGTAGAGGTCACATAGTTTGCCTGGTTTAAGTGCCTTTATCATTAAACCTAGTCCAAAATAAGGACTTTTACAGAAATAAAATAATAGAATTATAGAATCATAGAATGATTTAGGTTGAAAGAGACCTCAAAGATCATCTAGTTAAAATCCACCTGCCATGGCAGGGCCATCTCCCACTAGATCAAGTTGCTCGGGGCTCCTGGGCAACCTGTTCCAATGCCTCACCACCTTCAGGCTAAAGAATTTCTTCCTTATATGTAGCCTAAACCTAAGCTCTTGCAGCTTCCACCCATTACCCCTCATTCCATCACTCCAGGTCCTTGTAATAAGTCCCTCCCCAGCCTTCTCATAGGCACTGGAAGGCCACTATAAGATCTCCCAAGAGCCGTCTCTTTTCCAAGCTGAACAAGCCTAACTCTCTCAGCCTGTCCTTGTAGGAGAAGTGCTCCAGCCCTCTGACCATCTTGGTAGCCCTCCTCTGGACTTGTTTCAACAGCTCCATGTCTTTCTTGTGTTGGGGTTCCAGAGCTGGACACAGTATTCCAGATGTCTCACAAGGGCAGAGGTGAGAGGCAGAATCACCTCCCTTGACCTGCTAGTCGCATATCTCTTGATGCAGCCGAGGGCCGCAAGCGCTCACTGTTGGCTCATGTTGGTCTTACCATCCACCAACACGCCCAAATCCTTCTCCCCAGAACCGCTACGCTCTCAATCCACAAATTCAGCTATGGTCTTAGGGCTGAGGTGGAAACCAACTACCTCCCACGGCATATTTTGTGAATAATGATTTTGAAGCTAGAAGGAGAACCAGCTACAAAACTGAAAGCAGAACAGTAGATTTTATTATTTTTTTTTTCAATCCAAATCTTTCCAGTTAATACAGATAATTAGCCTCATAAGCTTAATATAATAATAATGCAGTGTTTTTTCTACGGTCAAAATATTACACAGATAGTAAAACCTCAGTATTTCTTGAATAAAAATAATTCTTCTGTACTAAAGCTAGGCACATAGATAAACTAGTTTTTGAAAATAACTAGTGGAGATAATTTTGGAATCAAGTGGTAGTCTGGGTGCCTGTAGATTGTCGGAATGTATTCCAGTGTATTATTTTTAGGATTTCTGTCTAACAAAACATTGTAATTCTTCAGCTGTTGCCTCTGTTTTGTCTTTTTCCTAAATAAAATACTCATTTTTAATGTAAATTTTAAAATCTGAAGTAATAGGCACAATATGTTGACAAAAATTGCCCTGACATTTCTACTGCTGATTAAATCTTGTCAAAATGCATGCGGATTGATATGTATCATGCATTGCTTGGATGCTTATGGAATTCAGATCTGAGCAGATCTACTGGATTTCACTGTAATTTTTCCTTTTTAAATTCTCTACCACTGAAAGTATAATTGAATTAAAATTTCACAAAAAAATCAGCTGTTTAAAAAATGTTGGAGTATATTTTTTTAAACGGTTGATGACTTTTCAGCAGGTAAATGTTGATAATTTCCTGTAGATTTTTTCCCCTTATTTTTTCTTTTTTGTTGTTGGATTTTTTATGGGTTTTTATTCCTTTTTTTTTTTTTTCTCCCTTTTTTCTTTTTCTCTTTTTTCCTTTTAAGGAAGAGAGCATGGGATGAGCACTGCTGTCTCATAACACAGAAAAGACACCAAATAAAATTCAACTGTTCAGCTGTTAAGGATCAAAGATATCTATCATTCTTTTAATTTTCCAGGTTCCATGAATGTGTGACAATGTTTTACACAACTATATGGTGCACGGAAATAAACACCTTTGGCCATAATTTTTTTCCTTAACTAAGCAAAAGAAAAATCAAGTTATAAATCTCACTTCTTTCCTTTGTCAAGTATACAAATTGTTTTGTAAATTGTCTTCCACCACAGATATGCTATATGAGCTTGTTAGGTGGCTGGTTCTCTAATTTATGTATACTTCCATGATAAAATTTGTCAAATGAGATTAAATATTTTAGACTGTATTGCCTGATACATGTTTTTGTTTGTTTTCTTAACTAGTGAAAAAGGCCATAGATTTTAAATCTAGAGGATTTAAATTGTTTCCAGGGAAAGACAACAGCAACAAGTTTTCTATCTGTGAGTGTACTCCTTTTTTGTTACTTTTTCTAGTGCAAGAGTGAAGTCTGTGCTGTCTGTGTTGTTTGTGTGTTTTCAAAATTGTGTATGTATTTCTGATAATATAACTGACTTAAATCTGTTTCTTCAGTCTGCATGGTGATTTTTAAATATGGTTCTACCCTAAAGGCAGGCTTTCTATAAATCTGGCATTGTAGTAAGAGATGTTATTTTGTCAGTAATTTCACACTAAATTTGACATATTTACAAAGAAATAAATACTAATTCTCTCAGGTGTCAGCTGAAATCTTAGCTGTAAACAAGAGATATTTTATTTTAAAATTAGTACCAGCAGCAAAAGGCTATACAAACTAAAGTCTACCCTCATTTACAAATATGCAACCAGATATTTTTTTCAAGTGACATACATGAGGTCACTTTCTGAATATTTTTCTCTTCATTAACTGTGACATTTTGAACTGATTAACTAACTGCAGTTTTTTAAAAAAATGGAGATTCTTAGTGCCTTCAGTTTTAATTACAGAAAATAGAAACTGAAAGTGCTCGGTATCTTAGAGGTGTAAATCCTAATTAACTCCTAAGGAAGAGTCAGGCAACTTCCTAACATTATTTGAAGAGATACAATTCTATATACACTAAAGGAGATACCTTTTGAAAAGAATGTGCCATTTTTATAGAGTTCCTTGACTAGAACCGCATTTTTAATACTTATAACTAATAGATTGAAATAAAGATGGACTAAATGCTTAGCCAATCTCTGTTTATACTGCATTTCATTATTCTTCACAGGAGTGAAAGGACTTGCTTTTGAAGCTTCTTAGGTTGGATGCATTTGCTGTAATTTTTCATTTAAAGTGTCAGTGGTCGATTCAGTTTCCAGAATTCAGAGGGGCACATTGGTGTAACTTTTAATGGATTTGTCAGTTTTAGATTTTAAGCTGTCAACATTAGGTGTGATTTTCTTTTATCAAAAGCTGTCTTCAAGCAGCAAGAGCCTTTAACATTTACCAGTCAGAAAAACAAAGTAAAACACTCTTCTGTTCAGTTTTTATAATGTAGTACATTGCCATATTCACTTTTTCTGAAACTGTATCACCTAAATAGTTCTGTAAGGCATTCCT